ACAAGGTCCACTTCAGTCCTGTCATTCTGGACCCAAACACTGCGAGTGGCTGCCTCTACCTGTCTGATGATCTGACCAGTGTGAGACGTGGAGACACACAGCAGCAGCTTCCTGATAATCCAGAGAGAAACACTAATTACAGCAGTGTTTTTGGTTCTGAGAGTTTCAGTTCAGGGAAACACAGCTGGGAGGTGGAGGTGGGAGATCATCCTTACTGGAATGTTGGTTTAGTTAAAGAGTCAGTCGACAGGAAGGGAAAGAGATTTGATTCACCAGAATATGGACTCTGGTGTTTATTGTATAAAGATGGAAAATACAATAATGGTGTTTGTAAAACTCTCGGAGTGAAGAAGAGTCTCCAGAGGATCAGGGTCCAGCTGGACTATGACAGGGGGGAGGTGTCCTTCCACGACTCTGAAGACATGAGTCACATCTTCACTTACAAAGACACTTTCACTGAGAAACTCTTCCCTTATTTCTGTGTTTGTCCAGCTGGAGACGCCAAAACATCTGAAGTTAAAATCTGTCAAACTAAAGTTTCTGTTTAAAGTTCATGTTTGTTTTTGTTTCTCAGTTATTGGAGAATAATCACACAATAAGTTCAACATCATATTTTATAAGAACATAAATACTCAAAACAAATAAAAAATACACTTTGGTGTTAATTAAAACTGCTGTTAAAAGAGTTTGATAGTTTTGACATTTTGTATTTTATTTGATCAACAAATTTGAAAGAATGTTGAAAATTAAAAAAAGCACAAACTATAAAATAATTTCCAGGATCATTTTAAAGAAACTTCTCTTCAGGCTGACTTTAAAAACCTGATTTCACAGAAAACACGTCTGATTATTGTTAATGTCATAAAATGTATTTCATCAAGTTCTGGTGTTGTTCATCCTCTTCAGTCTTTTTTAATCCAGTGACTTCATCTTTATTTGATTTGATTTTTAACTCAGTAGATTTAACACAATATATTTTGTTTAAAATACTTTTTGTTATTTCATCTTTTTTGTTGTTGATTAAGATTAAAACATGTTCATTCAAACGTTCTCTGTAAAACTTTAATTTTTTTCTAATTTTTGTCAATAAACTCCTAAACTGATCTTTATTTTCTGCTACATTTTATTCTAGATCTTAAATAAAACTAATTCACAGGAACAATTGATTAAAATGTGTTTTTTATTAAACAAAAAAATGGTTAAAACCAAAACAACTGGACTTTATTTGTAATTGAAGACGTTTCGCTTCTCATCCGAGGAGCTTTCTCAATTCAAAGAAACAATGAGTTATAAAGCTATAAATAAATTTTAACTTGTTTAAAAACAGACTGTTTGGAAATGTAAGGTGCAACGCTTCTTTAAAAAGCTGGAACAGGAAGTGGAACAAACAAGAAACATCTGGAGGAGCTTTTTGTGTCTGAATCTGTTAGAAGTAAAGATGGGCAGAGGTTCACCAGTTTGCAACAAACTGTGTGTAAAATAAGTAAAAGACATTTAAAATAATGTTCTTCAATGAAAAATTGGGAAGACTTTGATGATCCATCATCTACAGTTCATCCCAAACTTCAAGGATCTGTAGAAATCTCTGAGCTCAAGGCTGAAAGTCAGACGGGAGGATCTGCAGAGGACGATGAGAGCTCCGTCCAGGTGATTCCAGAAGGTAGATGTAATGTTGAAGAGAAGAGTCTTACCTGGTCTGGATTGGTTTCCAGGTCTGGAGGGACCTGATGGGCTGTGGTTCTGTGGTCAGGGGAATAAACATTCAGGTCAGGCTGCCTTCAGGGCCCAGGCCTCCCTCATAAAATAGATCTGTAATCTCAGTGTGATTTGCCTGGTTTAATAAGGGTTAAATTAAAAAAATTGAATGATAGTAACGTAGTACATCATATGCTACACATAGTTCCTTTCATTCAACCTTTATTTAGACAGGTAAATCCCATTGAGCCTCGAGGACTCATTTACAAGAGAGACCTGATGTCAACAAAGAACGATGACAACAATGGACATCAGCGACAACAATAGTTGTAAAAAAGCATGCAGATTTATTTATTTTTTTACAAATAAGATGGCAAATAGAGTAACAAAAACAGCTAGATTATAAGGTGAATGTAGAAAACTACCTTATACAGTGCATGTGAAAGTGTTCGGCCCCTTGAACTTTTCAAACTTTTGCCACATTTCAGGCTTCAAACATAAAGATATAAAATTTTAATTTTTTGTGAAGAATCAACAACAAGTGGGACACAATCGTGAAGTGGAATGAAATTTATTGGATGTGTCAAACTTTTTTAACAAATAAAAAACTGAAAAGTGGGGCGTGCAATATTATTGGGCCTTTTTACTTTCAGAGCAGCAAACTCACTCCAGAAGTTCAGTGAGGATCTATGAATGATCCAATGTTGTCCCAAATGACTGATGATGATCAATAGAATCCACCTGTTTGTAATCAAGTCTCCGTATAAATGCACCTGCTCTGTGATAGTCTCAGGGTTCTGTTCAAAGCGCAGAGAGCATCATGAAGACCAAGGAACACACCAGGCAGGTCTGAGATACTGTTGTGGAGAAGTTTAAAGCCGGATTTGGATACAAAAAGATTTCCCAAGCTTTAAACATCCCAAGGAGCACTGTGCAAGCAATCATATTGAAATGGAAGGAGTATCAGACCACTGCAAATCTACCAAGACCCGGCCGTCCCTCTAAACTTTCATCTGGAACAAGGAGAAGACTGATCAGAGATGCAGCCAAGAGGCCCATGATCACTCTGGATGAACTGCAGAGATCTACAGCTGAGGTGGGAGAGTCTGTCCATAGGACAACAATCAGTCGTACACTGCACAAATCTGGCCTTTATGGAAGAGTGGCAAGAAGAAAGCCTTTTTTCAAAGATATCCATAAAAAGTGTTGTTTAAAGTTTGCACAAGCACCTGGGAGACACCAAACATGTGGAAGAAGGTGCTCTGGTCACATGAAACCAAAATCAAACTGTTTGGCCACATTGAAAAACAATGTTTGGCGTAAAAGCAACACAGCTCATCACCCTGAACACACCATCCCCACTGTCAAACATGGTGGTGGCAGCATCATGGTTTGGGCCTGCTTTTCGTCACCAGGGACAGAGAAGATGGTCAGAATTGATGGGAAGATGGATGGGGCCAAATACAGGACCATTCTGGAAGAAAACCTGTTTGAGTCTGCAAGAGACCTGAGACTGGGACGGAGATTTATCTTCCAACAAGACAATGATCCAAAACATAAAGACAAATCTACAATGGAATGGTTCACAAATAAACGTATCCAGGTGTTGGAATGGCCAAGTCAAAGTCCAGACCTGAATCCAATCCAGAATCTGTGGAAAGAGCTGAAGACTGCTGTTCACAAACGCTCTCCATCCAACCTCACTGAGCTCGAGCTGGTTTGCAGAAAGAATGGGCAGAATTTCAGTCTCCATGTGTAAAACTGATGGAGACAAACCCCAAGAGACTTGCAGCTGGAACTGCAGCAAAAGGCGGAGCTACAAAGTATTAACGCAAGGGGGCCGAATAATATTGCACGCCCCACTTTTCAGTTTTTTATTTGTTAAAAAAAGTTTGACACATCCAATAAATTTCATTCCACTTCACGATTGTGTCCCACTTGTTGTTGATTCTTCACAAAAACTTAAAATGTTATATCTTTATGTTTGAAGCCTGAAATGTGGCAAAAGTTTGAAAAGTTCAAGGGGCCGAATCCTTTCACAAGGCACTGTAATCTAGCTGTTTTTGTTACTCTGTTTGCTGTATGAACAAGGCCGGATTAACCATATGGGCAACTGGGCAACTGCCCAGGGGCCCATGATCTCTAAGGGGCCCAGGGCAGTGAGGGCACAAGCAAAACATCTGGTTATCTCCTGCTTTACTTGGAGCTCTGCGCTGCATTTGTGCAGCTCTGCTTCCTCCCAGAGCGGCTGCTGCAGCTCTGGTTTTTTTTTTTCAACCAGATCCTCAACAGTGCGACCTGTCAATCAACTCAGAAGGCGTGTCAGTAACTGACCAATCGACGACCACAATTTGTCCCGAAGGTGAACGCTCCTTACCTGCTGACAAACTCATCAGTTTTTTTTTCTTGAGAAACTTCTTGTTTTAATTAAAACAATAAGTTTGTATCTGTTGTGAGATGATTTTAGCAGTTTTGCAGATGTTTAATCTACTTAATGAAGAATAGTACGACTTAAAATCGTTCATCAAACAGGAAGGAGGGCTTATTATCCCTCCTCTTACTACAGTGAATGGGGTACTTTGCTATGAGTACGACTATATTTATGGCATCAGAGAAAGCTGAGTTTAAGTTATCCACATAAAGTAAAATGGCATCAGCATGAAAAGAAGGAATGTTAAGTTTGAGATTAATCCAGTTTCTGATGTCTGACCAAACACTTTGCATTGTCGTTCAAATAAAAATGCTCAAGGTATTCACCTTCTGATTTACTAAAGACACACAAATCAACATCAAATGTAAATCTTCTTTGCAGAAACATGGCTACAGGATAGATCTTATTTATTATTTTAACATGATTCTCCTTCACTTTAGGAGATTTAGGTCATTTGACAAATTTAGAATGAGCAGAAGTCATTATGGTTTTATGATTTATATTGGGAGGTTTCTTGAAATAATCTTTGTTGTAATCAGTAAATCCTTTGTTGCAAACATTCATTGATAATCTTATTACATTTGAAGTCAACTCAGTTACAGTCATTTAATTTTCATTTGGGCATCAAATCATCACCTTTGAATATATA